GGGGAGGGAACGCGCTCCTATCGTGTCCTCCCGATGTCGGCCGCGACCCTCCTTGACCCTGTTGCCACTGTCTGTTCGCATTCAGAGGAATAGACTCTCTTCGTACCGCCAGGCTCGCTTCATCCCTCTCCGAAGGTTCTACCTTGGGCACAACCGCCATCGCAAACGGGGTAAACTCCGGAGCACGCAGGGGAGAAACAGTAGGAGCAACAGAAGCTGCACTCGTAGAATCAGAACCCATTCCCTTTGTCTTTTCAATCACCGGCACCCATCGACCACGCTTGTTGCTGCTGGGTGGCGTAATGCTCGTTTTGGCCATCGCCTCATCCAATTCCATCTCCACATCATCATTCTCCTCTCGAGATGTGTGAGCGGTCGAGGACACCGAACGCGTCGTGGGCCGAATAGGAGACGTCGACAGCAGCCCGCTAATCGACATGCTCCGTAAGCGACGGAGGCCTGCTCGTGCACGCTGTTGCTGTTGCTGCTGTTGCTCGCCCTCTGTGCCTCCCTCCTCGGCTGGGTCACGCTTCCGCTTTTCGCCTGCACTCTGTCGCATCGAGGACGAAGAGGATGGCGCAGACGCACTCTTTAAACTCGCCCGCTCGACCTTGGCCCGCTTCGCCTCTCCTCGCGCCTTCTTCACATCATCCTGCTTGTCCACTTCTCGATTCACAAGCCCCACAAACTCTTGCAAATCCCCCTGTATCCATACATCAAATGTCGACTCCCACTCCTTGGCCGGCATCGGAAAATCTAGATTAAGATAAATAGAGCGTATCGGTCGATCCTCGTCCTCTTCTTCACTCTCTTCATCATCTTCCTCTTTTATAGGTTTATTCGATCGTAAATTTCGTCTCGATGTTCGTGTGGTTGTCGTCGTCGTTGCATTTTCTGAATCAAAGCTACTGCACCCACTCCGCGCCGCCTTGGAAAACTCTTTGACGATGCGCTTGGTTCCAGGCACCTTCAAACTAGTTCCAACAACGACCAACAAGTCTGGAGGTGCCCGTTTTGTGCGGCCACCGGTGAGATCCTTTTTGACCACTAGCCCGACTCGATCGCCCTCTGGATGGTCTTCATTGTATAACACAACAGAAGGGCGCATGACACCCACCCCTCGCAGCCGTTTGCCCACCAGTTGCCGCGTGTGTTCAAACTCGGTACATTGCACACACCACGGAATCGACCCGTCTTCAAACGTCGACACAATAGACGACAAATCACGCTGTGCGCCGCACGTCAGACACCTTAGTAGCTTGAGCGTCCCATGCAGAGGTATACAGCGTGGTGTGGTGTCGCCCACTGGTGGTGTGGATCTGCCGCCGCCGCCATTTGCCATTGCCTTGATCACATCAGGCGTTCCAGGAGCAGGCGAGGGAGAATGCGACTGTGATTGGGAGTCTGGTTCGAGAGAGTGGGATTGGGACGAGGTGGTGGTGGCAGTTTCGACAATCGAGTCTTGCGAGTGGTTTGTCGGTTGCTTGGTGGGCAGGGACGATGATGACGACGATGCAGCCGTAGTCATCGACTTTGGCTTCTTGGGGGATCTCCTCGGCGTAGTCAGAAGCTCTGGAACGCCAAACGAAAGGCCAGCCTTTTCCTCGATGCAGTCAATGTTTTGCGTATAACATCTAAGCAGCTGGCCTCGCTCGTCGAGACTCTTGAGCAGGTGGTGGAACGGTGTCGGCTCGGCTTGCGAGGCCAGCTGAGACAGTCGGGCGATCATCTTGTAAAAGAGCGATGCGGTCGTCTCGGAATGGAATACCGTGCTGGCATCAAACAACTCTCGCCCACTAGATAGTGCTGGATAGTCTTTTGCGTGCGCCTTTTTGAGCTGCTTGAAGAGACCGGTCGAGCTCCTGAAGTCACTGATCCCAGCTTGCACTGACACACCGGCTCCTGTGAATTGGAAAAGTCGTCCACAAAAACCGAGATAAATCAGCCCATCAGATATAAGAAAGATAAAGTGTCATCGTCAGCTTGATGAACTCGAAATCGCAAACAGAGCGGTTGCCCAGCGCAATGGGCTCCTGGCTTTTCTACTCACCGGAGACAACGACAATTCGCTTGGCCTTTGCGATCGTCTGTGCTGTTCGTTCTAACTGTTTTTTATGATTTTTGGTTGCCTTGAGCGTTGCTGGTGATGATGGCAAGACATCTGTGCCCGACAGCGGGACGTACAGTGTCATTTGGGACAGGTCCAAAGTGGTTTACACCCTCTTTGAAACCCAGCCATTCTCGCCATTCCCCGTCGTTGCCACCCGGTATCATCTCATTTTACATGCAGCCACCGTCCTGTGACCTCGGAATCATGGACGACGATGACAAGTCGCGATTCAGTTCATCTCACTCGAAACGCTCGTCATGGCTGTTCTCATGCAAAAGGCCGATCACGATCAGATATTCGAGGGAAAACGCAGATGTGTATCTCGCTATCAACCGGTGACCTAGCAGATTTCTACACAATGCAAGGAAACCTATAGAGACTTTTCGCGGCTGCTTTATTTTAGCTTGCAAGCAGTGACTTGACGGCAGTGTAGGCTGCTTTGGGCTGCATGCTCTCATCATACAAGCATGCTGCTCCTTGCCCGCTGAACGTACTGGAGACCCACGAGTGAGCATCACTAGCAAGACAATGAGTATCCGGAAACATTGACACGATGATAGTATGCCATACCTCATGCCCCAGACTATGGTGGACGCAACGCCTGATTAGCCCATCATCCTTACGACAAAGTGAAACACTCACAGGTGATACCAAGGCATTTGGTAATGTTCAGACAGGCCGTCACGACATTGACTGGAAAGAGGGTGAGTGTCCCTCTCTTTATACTTCTAGGCGACGTACCGTAATCGGTGGCCTGTTGTGCCAAATTGGCACTAGTGGCGGGAGTTGGCATGCGGATATCGAGCTCGGTGATACTGCGGGAATATCAAAACGAGGCAGAGGGAGGGAGTCGTGGAGAGTGACTTACGCAATGGAGACGCCCAAATTGACGAAGTTGTTCCAGTTGGTGCTGAGGGTGGTAGGGACCGATCCCACGATCAAGTGGGCTTGAATACCGATCTGTTCAATGGGGGCCCCTCTTGCCTTGACACGAGTTACCAAGTTGGTCATTCCGGTCGATTTGGATCCCGTTCCATCACTGCTAAAGTCAGTCTCTGCTGGATACAAATAATTTGGAGACTTGCATGTTGTAATCGTTGATAGCAAGAATGGCAGCGCTATCAATCGATTTGGCAGTCTTGAAGGCGATATCGATGTACGTCTCTCCAATAAGGTTGTAGAAGAGAGATGTACGCAAGCTACCGTCTTCCTAATAAACGTTTAGTCGAAGATTCGAGATAGGCGACCCGGTTACCTACGTTCAAGGCCTCGTTTACAACATCCCACGTGTGGATCTTGCCCTTATATTTGTTCATTACACCGGTAATGTGATTGGTCATCACACTGGTCAAGGTGGCATTGGTCCAACTACCTCCAGTCACCCATCTACGAGCCCCATGAATCTCTTGCAAGAAGCCTCTGAAGCGTGTTACTTACGAGGGAAGTTGCGAGTGCCAGACAAGAGTGTGTCTATTAAATGTATCATTAGCAGGGCTCTCATCCAAATTCAGGGACCCACCCTCTCAAAGTCATGCTGTTCAAGATGGTAATGTTGACCACCCTATCTGCCCAGAGACTGGTGGAGAAATCACCTTGAGTTTGTTCAAGACTGTCCCACTGGAAAAGGTCAGCATATTCCCTGACAGTAAGACGGACGAATTACCTTCATGCTGTTCTCGCAAGTCAGTTGGTTGACGTTCGGGAATACGACCTGGTTATATGCCGAATCAGAGATGTATGCGTTATCGTATGCAGAACCGATATATTTGCCCTTAGCTTTGGCATAGCTTGCAAGGCCGGTTGGGCTGAGAGGGATCACAGGGAGGGTATTGGTGCTTGTGGCTGAAGTGGTAGTGGTAGTGGAAGTCCTAGTGGTATTTGAAGACGTCGTAGAGGTGGTTGTCCTAGTGGTGGTGGTGGTGGTTGACGAGGACGCCCGGCTAGTGGATGTGGATGTGGATGTAGAAGATACTGTGGTCGAACCTGCAATGCATTGATACTGGGATCATAAGAAGATGAGCTGATAGTCTAAGGCGTTCAGCTTACATAGTAGGGGTTCCACTGTTGGCAGATTAATCCTGATGCGCATGTAGTGCAACCTGTGTAGCTACGGGCATAGCATCGGTATTCGGTAACATAGGGTGGGCGTCGAATGCTGAGAGGCCAATCAGGTACTCACGTAAGACCT